TAAATTGGGAAAAAATATAGACATGTTTGCATCTTTATTATATCTACATTCATCCTGTTTCAGCTGAATATACAGGGTGTTAAATAAAAAGTGTCACAAAATAAAATGGGGGGGTAGTATGGGCCAAAATATGCAGAAAAGTCTTAATAAACATATGTCCGCAAATGAATGGTTTCAGAGATACGGAGTGTTTTGTGTTTTGTATCATTTTTTGATTATCTTTTTTCATTCTCAAAAACTTGCTTTTCTTATCGGAGTCTACCGATGTTTTTTCATAGATACTATTTGCAGTTATTATTTTGTTGTGGGTGAATAATTTTATAAATTTTCGTTATGCCTGTTTATACTAATATTGAATTAGCTGACATGCATTTTATGTACGGTCGTGCAAATGGCAACGCGAGGGAAGCGCTACGTCAGTATATCGACGCTTTCCCTAATCGCCACATCCCTTCAGTTCGTGTGTTTGGAAGATTGCGTGATGCAGGTAAATTTGGGAAACAGTCACATGATTCCGGGAGACCAAGGTCGGTGTCCACCCCTGAGGCAGAAGAAGCAATTTTAGCACGAGTAGAAGAGAATCCAGAAACTAGTGTGCGAAGAATATCAGCGGAGGTAGGAATTGGGGCTCCTCTGGTTTGGAGAATCCTCCACGAGCAGCAGCTTTACCCGTACCATCTTCAACGAGTGCAAGCTCTGAATTCACCTGATTATCAAGCACGTTTGGAGTTTTGTCGATGGTTTCTGAGAAATGATGCTGAGGATCCCAATTTTATTGCACTAATTCTTTTTACTGATGAGGCAGGGTTTACACGAAATGGAGTTTTTAATTTCCATAATTTGCATATGTGGGCCGACGAAAATCCCCATAATACCGTGGAATCCAGGCATCAAGTTCGTTTTTCATTAAACATTTGGATGGGTATTTATGGCGACTGGTTACTAGGTCCGATTGTACTACCTAACCGATTAACGGGAGCTGACTACTTAAACTTTTTGCAGAACACATTGGGTGATCTTTTAGATGACATTCCTTTAATACAAAGAAATCAAATGTGGTTCCAGCACGGTGGTGCTCCGGCGCATTTTTCAGTTGCCGTAAGAGAACATTTAGACGGATCCTTTGGTCGAAGATGGATAGGAAGGGGCGGACCTGTGCCATGGCCTGCAAGATCGCCTGATTTAAATCCGCTTGACTTTTTTCTTTGGGGACACTTAAAAAATTTAGTGTACGCCACTCCTGTGACCTCGAAGAGCTGCAGCAACGAATAGAGCAGGGATGTCATCGAATCCTAGCCAATGAGGGTGTTTTGGAAAGAGTCTGATAGTCCTTTCGGAGGAGATGTCGTAGCTGCATTGAAATGGAGGGAGGGCACTTTGAACATCTCATTTAACTCTATGTTGTTATTGATTGTTTATAAATATCATTGTTTTTTTATAATAATAAAAAAGTGTTATAAACACAAAATGGTCCGTATCTCCGAAACCGTTAATTTGCGGTCATATATTTATTAAGACTTTTCTGCTTATTTTGGGTCATACTATTCACCATTTCATTTTGTGACACTTTTTTTTAACACCCTGTATTTGGGTAAGTTATAAGTTTTCGTTTAAAATTTTAATTACGGATTTGTTGCTGCAAGTAGCAAAGACAAAAATTATATCAAAATAGGAAAGCCCAAAAGTTGCATATCATTTAAAGAATATGCTCATATATTTGTAAACATTATTTTTAGAAATAAATTTAAATCTCAAATGATAGATGTGTTATTCGATCATTATAAAGGACATTCTATCAAAAATACAACACGTCAAAAGAGAGGATTTCAGAAATCAATTGATATAGAAATTGACCAACCCAATATTCCACTTCCGCAACAATAGAACTTGTTTATTCATTCGATATTTAACAAAAGACTTTTAACACATTTTTTGCCAGAGCAACTTCTTCAAAACTCCATTCAGCAAAAGCATATTCAATTTCTAACTAGTGGTGGATTCGCGAAAATCAATAAATATGGGAAGAATTTTGAACCATCAAAAGACGATTTTTTAAATTCAAATCACGAAGACGCTACTAATCGTATCTTATTGCACATATTGTCAGCCAAAAATTCGGGGCATTCACGCTGCATTATTTATTGCAACGATACAGATGTCTCATTAATTTATTTTAAGAAGTTTTTGACTAAAGATATATGGTTCAGAACAGGGCGAGTAGACTCAAGACGATTTCTAGCAGTACATTGTTTAAATTTGGATGAAAACCTTCTTAAAAATGTACCTGCTTTTCATTCTCTGACCGGTTGTGATACAATCAGCCAACTGTCCGGCATTGGGAAAAGAACCTGTTGGAAAACCATTACTTTTTGGATGGATTTGGCACTGATCAGTACTCTGAAAACATATTCTCTAATCTTGAAAGAATTTTCATAAAAATTTATTCAAAACTGCCAATATTACTTCCATTAACATTTTGAGGGGATTATTGGCCTCTTCAAAAACCATCGCTAAATTGCCACCGACTGAAGACGCCCCAAGACTACATTGTTTAAGATGTTTTTACCAGCTAAATATTTGGCTAAGCTCTTTAAACCCAGATGCAGCTTCCTAATGTTGAAGAGTATGGATGGAAAGTAGATCAAGATGGAAGTCTGATACCCACTTTTAAGACTCTGCCCGACCTGCCACCAGACATAACAGAACTTACATCATGCAAATGCAAAAAAGATACTATACAATATTCTAACAATAATATTCTGTTCTAGACTGTGGAAGCAAAATTTGCAAATGCAGTAAAAAAAATATTTGCTGTATCGGTTCCTGCACCTGTATGGCACAGAAAAACTGCAGAAATAGTTTGACCACAGCTGCTAATGTTTTGGAAAATGTTGATTCGTGTGGTGAATCTGATTTTGATTAGTTTGAAAGTTGAAATTTTAATATTATTAATTTATGCTTTATATACTTCCTTCCAATTATTATTATAATTTATTTATATTGGAGATTTATTGTATTTTGCAAAGCAACAGCCTTACTGTTTATAATTGATACTTCAATAAATACCTTTAATAAATAGTTTATATTTTCTTATTTTTCATTTTCCACCAAAAATAAAAAAAATCTTGAAGTAATTAATACACCCTATTATTCATAGTGGATAAATCAATAATCCCTGTATAAAATAATATAAGAGAGTCAAACTGATTGCATACATTTCAATACTGAGATAGATGCATAAAGAGTCGAGAGGCTTTGCTTTCTAGTAAAACCATGACATCACTAATTGTTTATTGCTATATTTTTGTTAATTCAAAAGCAAAATTATGAAGAAAGTACTTTTACATTGTCAATACATAGGAGAAACTTTTATAAAGAATAGTTTTTTTTCCATTTAGGCCTTCGTTTTTCGTCAAATGAGAGGTATATTTCTAAAAGAAGCTTTTTTATACTTTGTAGACGGTTGAAACCGAGATATTGACGTTTAAATTTTTTTTCGTCCATAAGGGCTAATGCAAATGATTTTTTTTTAAATTAAAAAAAATACTTCCTACAAAGACCTAATTGAGCATTATAACAAAAAATGGGCATTTTTAACCAAATTAGATGTAATTTCACTAAATTAGATGTAATAATTTTCAACAAATTCCAAAACCTAGTGATGTTAGATTGGAAGTGGCAACAGGGCTTACACCGGCATGGAAATTTACCTTATGTAGTATAAGCTCGCGCAGTTATTCATTGATAAAACTACGTAAAATTCTTCTCTCTATCCCTTCTCTTACTTCTCACCTTTCGTCGCCTCGCCCCGTGTCTAGAAAATGTTTAAAATTCGATATTTTGCCAATTTTAAATTTTATGCAGTTACTTAGGCTTAATTGGTTATTTTGTAATAAACTCGTTTACAAATATGAAGGTTTAGGGCAGAAACGGGTCGTGGGGGGGGGGGGGGGGGGTGACAGTGACAGAATTTAGGTATGAAAAAACTTTCAGTGTTTTAGAAAGTTTATAATATACCTTTCTAAAACACTGATAGGTTTTCTGCCGTGTTATGGTAAAACCTAGTAACTGGAGTTACTAGTTTTTGAATTATTATCAATATTTGAATTTGGCGCAATAAATTACCTTATATGAATTTTTCCCGCCCTAATTACGATGTAAACAACGGTTATTTTTGCAGTAAGTATAAAAAATTGGTACTTTTACTTCTTTAAAATTCAGTAAGTCAAGTTACTAGGTTTTAAACATTTTTGTTATTATTGTTTCTTATTGCACTTTAACGAATTCTTATAGTATGTCGGAGTTACTTTATTTTAATTTATTTTTCTCAGTTGAGTTTTGACCACTGATTCGAGTGCATGCGTGTTTACGTTCTGTCGTTTTACAACGAATTTATTTAATCAGTTTTAAAATTATGGGATATCGGTCAAGAAAAATCCTGCAAATGTGCACAGACAGGTAAGATAATAATAAAAAGTAGATTAGTTGTGTATTTTTGTTTAGTTGTATTGTTATTAAAAAAAATATATTATAATTACGTAACATTATAGTACTTTTATGTTATATTTTAAGGGCTCCTGTTCAAGATTTGCCTTTAGAAGACGAAAATAATAAAGTTTATTCTGATATTGACGATAGTGATAAAGATCCAGATTATACTCCTCATGGGACACCTAAAAAAAAGTTCAGGAAGTTTTTTAATCTTGACGATTTATTTAGTGACGAAAATAATCAAAACACCAACAGAAAGTCAAAAAGTCCCAATCAGGAGGCTGACGTTTTAAATAATAGTAATGAATTAGTAGAACCCATCACTGGAGCTTACGAACAATGTGAAAATAGACAAGACGATTCTATCGAAAACGTAAATCGGTTTTGTAGATCATTGTTAAAAGAAATTGTAGACAATATAGTAAAAGAAGAGAAAGGTAAACGTAAAAAAAATCATACAATAATACTCGTAATGAAAAACACCGCTTGCTACCTCCGTGTACTACTAGATGTAGACAAAAGTGTTATCAAAAAATCGATGAAGTTTTAAGAGAACAAATTAGAGAAAAGTTTTGGAAATTAAATTTTGGAGGAAGAAGGCTTTTCTTAGAAGCCTACATAACGCAAAATAAAATTAAGCACAGAAGTCAGGAGGCCATAAATTTAAAAAAATTTTCTTTACATTATCATTTACCATTGAACACTAATGATAATGAAACTAAACTAAAAGTATGCAAAACAAGAAACAGAAAATTTAGTAATATCTCACATTGAAAAGTTCCATCCAGTTGTCTCGCATTACAATTTGATTCATTCACCTAATAGGCGCTACCTTCCTCCCGAACTTACGATAAAATATTTGTGGACAGACTATTGTGGCGTATCTGATAATGGGTCCTATGATTGAACGTTTACGTTATCCGTAACGTACATGTTAGGCCGAGTTTTAACAGAAACGAGGCAAATTCATATGATAGAAAACTTTTTCCAACACATTTCTGTTATTTTCCGCCTGTTATCTTCTAATTTAACAGTTTTCCATCTTCCGAACTTGCCTCGTTACTTTTAAAATTCGGCCTAACATGTACGTTACGGATAACGTAAACGTTCAATCATAGCACCCAATATTTCTTATGATCTATACCGAAAAATATTTGAAAAACAAAATATTGGGTTTAGTCGCCACCAAGGAGAACATCATTCTTGGTGAGCAAAATCAAAGTAGAGAGTGTTGAAAATTAATTTCTATCTCTGCCGTTTTTCCTTCGGGTGTAATTCAATGCCTGTTGTGGTATTAGCCAAAGGAGTAGTTGTTTTTCTGAAGGGGAAACGGTCGTTGTATTTTATGTGATATTCGGCTTTGAGCTAAATTCATTTTATTTCATTTTGCTACTATTACATTTGAGTTTTGATATTTTATTATCGTTTACAAATTGCCCGCCTGGTCTTTTTGGTTCCACCTAGTTTTCAAACTGGGTACCATAGCGCAATTTGATTTTGCTTACTAAGAACAGATGGCGACACCATTTTCACTACTTGAATTTTATTCTCTCCGTAACCAGCTTTATGGTATACTGGTGAAATGTGTAGCATTTGTTAATTCCATTAGAGACTGGAATTGAGAACCTATCTATTTCTTGCTGAGGAGTCCTAATAAGGACGAAACCGGTCCAAGAATGATGTTCTCCTTGGTGAGCAAAATCAAAGTAGAGAGTGTTGAAAATTAATTTCTATCTCTGCCGTTTTTCCTTCGGGTGTAATTCAATGCCTGTTGTGGTATTAGCCAAATGAGTAGTTGTTTTTCTGAAGGGGAAACGGTCGTTGTATTTTATGTGATATTCGGCTTTGAGCTAAATTCATTTTATTTCATTTTGCTACTATTACATTTGAGTTTTGATATTTTATTATCGTTTAAATAAAAATTTAATAGATAGCAATTAAAAAACTGTAAAACAAAAAATCTAAAAACTTCAAACGCCATTTTCTCAGTTGATTGTTTTTTGAGTTATAGTGGTCTTGTACTCATAGTGCGATATATTTTTCTTGTGATTGAGATGGAAAAGAAAAGGAGAAAAAAATTGTTATACAACTAAAAACACAAGACTTCAGTACGTTACACAGGCAAGTAAGTACTTTTAATAATTTTTAATACCTTTTATTGTCAGAATATATCTGTCCGTGAACTGATAATTGTTTTTTTCTTTTCTTCTAGGGACACACCAAAATTGAATACCTTCGAGAGAAAATGATTGTTTGCTGTTCCTCCAGGTCACCACAGGTCAGTAAAATAGATTTAATCTCCAATTTTTCTGCTACTTGCAGTCCTTGTTCAATGTAAATTTTTTTAGGCACACTTTTTATCACTGTTGACTGTTTATTATAAAATTGTTCACCTTCAGTTATTAACTGGTAATTGTTTGACTTACACTATTACAATTTTTTTTGCTTTTTATCACTATTTTCATGTAATTTTTAATTGTCTGCCTTTTTTACCCCAAAATTTCAATATGTCCCCCTACTTGTTGATTTTTTCTACACTCGCTTGTTTCTTCTTTCTTTTTAGATCTTATTAAAATTCCAACTAGAAAACAAGGTGTTGTTTGGCCAATGGATTTAAATTTATATAAAAAGGTTAGTTTATTTAATTATGATAGGCTATTATAAAATTTTAAAAGTATTTTTCCCAAATTTTGTTATTACAATTAATATAACAGATAATGTGTTAGTTAATTATTAAAATTCAATTAATTTAGTTTCAATTCATCATACTTTATGAGATATTGTTTAATACTTATTCTTTATTAAATTTTTTTAGATGAAACATGGTTCGAAAAACGGCTTCGAGGATACTATCTACCAAAAATGGAACGGAAACTCACCAAGATACTGTACGTACCACAAAGTTATGGACTGAACAAGTTAATTGTATTATTTTGAAAATTAAGAAAATATTTGCTAGGTAAGTTTTAATTTCCTTAGCTACGTTTTCAGATAGATCATTTTAAACAAAAATTATTTCATGACAATATATACCTATATACAGGGTGATTCATAACTATTGGGACATATGCTAAGGGCAGGTTATTTGTACAAAAATATGATGACAGGGCCAAATATACCTTAATAAAATATTGCTGTGGAATAAGATATAGGGCGTTAAAGTTGAATTTTTTTTTTCGTTTTTTTTTTATAATGTCACTGTATATTAATGAATTGTTATCAAAATCGGCACAGAGGCATATCTTTGGACAGGGGATAATATTTTATGTATAATTTCTCATTTTGTTACGGGGGGCGCCACTTGAATGATTACTAATGATGAAATTAAGTGGTAGCTTTTTTTGACAAAACTTTTTAGTATTTTTGATTGGAAATATGATGTAAACGTCATTTCTACGTAATATTGGTACTCTTGTTTAAACACGATAATTTTACCCGTTTTCGAGAAAAATGCAATTGAGCAGCTCACAAGTCTCAAATGGGGAGTTAAAAAAATATTTCACATATGAAAAGTGTACTTTGGAGTGTCAGATAATTGTGTTTGGTGCATGTAATTTCTTGACAGTGAATTATTTTTGCTGTTTTGATTATAGTCTATTCTTATTATTTATCACCCTGTATCTTATTCCACAACAATATTTTATTAAGGTATATTTGGCCCTATCGCCATATTTTGCTTCAAATAATCTGACCTTAGATTATGTCCCAATAGTTATGAATCACCCTGATATGCAGGGTGAGTCGGGAGGAGCGCACCAAACTCTAGGAGTATATTATACACGTGAAAATAATGTAAAAAACTCATGTTCTTATCCGATTTTCATTTGTTTTCAAGTTATGGCGTAATTAAAAATGTTCATCTTGCTTTCCACTTCTGAATTTTAACATTATCAAAGTATGCCATATGTTCAAGGCTCAAAGGCATTTGATAATTCTGACGTTTTGATGAACTGTCAGTGTACAGTAACTGAACGTTTAATTTCGAATTTATGTGATTGTAAGTGTTGCAAAATGCCAGATGATTATTCAAATTTAGAATATGCAAATATGATGTTTGTTTTATGTGTAAATTTGTTTATTTGTTAATAGGCTATAACTTGAAAACAAATGAAAATCGGATAAGATCATATGAGTTTTTTTTACATTATTTTCACGTGTATAATATACTCCTAGAGTTTGGTGCGCTCCTCCCGACTCATCCTGTATATTGTTATGTTTCTGTTATATCAATTCTTACATAACTTTTTAAAAAAAATTGTAAAAATATATTATGTTTTATATTTACCTTCAGCTAGCCTTATTATCCTCTTGCTTAAGAGATTTAAATGTAGAGCACAAGATCCTCTTAATCTCAAGGTGAGTTCAAAACTAGTTTTTGGAATTATAAATTCGAATCACGTTACGACTCGACTGTGGCGTCCTAATGTTTACAATAAGTTATTATTATATGTAAAAATAATAAACTTTAGTTTAAAGAAGATTTTATGTGAATTATAATTGATATTCATCTTTCTAGCTCTATAACTCAAAAACTGTTAGATGGAGGGGATTGATTCAGAAAAACTTTTTGTAGCGAATTTTATGCCCTACAAAAGCTATAAACCGGTTTCTCCAAAAAAAATTTTTAATATCAAAAATTGAAATTGAAACAAAAAAAAATTTTCCTATGTTATTTAAATGGGACATCGAATTTTTAAATGAGCTAAGTCGCTATTGCATTTAGAACCTTTTACCCATCGGTTAAATTTTTTATTTTTTATAAAGTTTCAGATTTTCAGGTAGCACAGAGAAAAAAAAAAATATTGCCTGAAAATGCCCCCAATAAGGATATATGTATCTGGAAACTATGCACTTCTACATTTAGAATAACAAGAGTAAAATACAAGAAATAAATTTATACATACTTCAAAAAACGTTAAAAGTACTCGTATAAACTAGATAATACTTCAAGTAGGCTATGGAATAGACACATCTTTGAAGTGTGTGTCATTTGTTTTTAGTTTCTGTCAAACAGTGTTTGATGTTCTGAAGTTCCTACAGTATTTTCTTTCTGCCTAGTGAGTATTAAATCATTATGCCTCATCAATTTTCTAACCGAGAATGCGCAGATATTTTATTTATTTATGGATTTTGTAATGGTAATGGTACAGCTGCAAAAACTGAATACGGAAGAAGGTTCCCTGATCGAAGGTTACCAAACCGTAAAACATTTATTCGTGTTTTAATTACTTAAGAGAACACGGCAGATTTCCAACGGTTACATTAAATGAACATCAGGAAAGAAGGCAATTAAATATGGAACAAAATATTTTGAATATTGTTAATAATAATCCGGAGATTAGTACAAGAAGAATTATACATGCTAAAAATGTACCTCATGTTACTGTTTGGCGGCGACTAAAAGAACATAATCATTATCGATTTCATGTACAAGAAG